CAATAACCATGGCTCTGTTCTTGTAGGGCCTTCAAATTCTGTGCCCTTTGTCCTCTTCTCCTGTTTCCTCTGTTGTCTTTAAAGCACTACTCATGTTATGACTTGACCGCATGGGATTTAGATTTCATTTTTTTTCTTTTTGAACATGAGGGAATCTTAGGTAAGAATTAAATTATCGATCAATTAAATTTTAAATTAATTAAATTTTAAAGATGAATTATTGAATTTAAAAATTCAGTTCACATTTTGCCCTAACATTTTTTTTAAAATGAGTATTCATTTAAGGGATGAGATTCAAACTTTAATTTTTAGATTAAAAAATATACTTTATAACTCAATTTATAACCATTAAATCACAACATTCAAATTTTATTAAATTTTAATAAATAAATAATCACTTTTAAAATACTGATAAAAGAAGGAAAAACATAAAGAGCCACAGTGAATCCCACGTGGCCTCACCATTAAAGAAGCAGTACTGGTCTTTAGTCTTTATTACAGTACTACCTAAACAAGTACTATTAAAGAGGAGTGCTAGGGGCACTCGCCTTCTGCACTTTCCGGCCAACACTTTCACTTTTGTTGGGCCACGATAGTCTCGTCGGTAAGAGGTTGCTTCAAAGCCTAAAACAAGCTTACGTGGCCCAATGAAAGGGGAAGTGTTGGCCGGAGAGTGTGAGTGGCGAGTTCCCCTAGCACTGCTCACTATTAAATTAGGAATAGTATTCTGACCATCGGCTAGGGTGTACCCACCGGGAGGATCCACAGCTTCAACGGCTCTATATGTATATATTTACTCTCTTTTTTTTTTTTTCTCTCACGTGACTGATCTGAAGCAGCTAACCCAACAGCACAATCCGGTCGCGTATTTGGCGGGGGGAGTACCCATGTGGGTCCCTCTTCTCGCCGTCCCTTTGGACACTTCTCCAACTACACCTGTTCATTTCGTTGACAGAAAGTGTAAAGCTTTCTTGCTTGCGAGCTGGGTTTATTAATTTATAAATTTTTTTGAATGAAATTATATTTTTATAATTTTAATTTATTAAAAAACATATTAATTATATTCTTTAAAAAAGTAAGGCTTTATTTTAATTACAATTTAATTTAATTAACAATTTAAATAATTAAAAAATTATTTTATTTCACTGAAAATAAAAATTTTAAATTTAAATTACATAACATGTAGATAAAATAAAATAAAAAATAAAAAATAATTATTTTTTATTATACAATTAAGATAAAAAAAATCACAATTTAATTTAAGATTTAAAATTTTATATTTTTAAATATTAATACTTAAATTTAAAAATTAATCATGTGTGTGTTTTTAAATTCAAATATAAATATTTAATTAAATGAATTTTTAAATTTAAATTAAATTTTAATTAAATAAAATAATATTTTTTAAAAACAAAATTTTAATTTTCTTAAATTAAAACTAATATACATTAATATTTTTATTAAATAATAAAAATTAATTATTTTATTTTTATTAATTTTTTTTTAACATGCTTTTATTAATTATTTTTAACAATTAAATTAAAATATAAATTTATTAATAACCTTAACAAATTTAGGCGTGATGTTAAGGAAAGTCTTGGTTGTGTGCAGTGCACCCCTATGAACCCAAGGTAGCCGAGGCCGATGCGGTGGCATCAAAAGGAAGAACGCAAAAGTATAGAAAAAAGCCTAAAATGGAACTTAAATTCGAAACAGTTAAAAAGAAAGTAAGTTGCTGACTGAACAAAAAATTTTCACCTACAGTTACATCCTGAAAATAATTTAGGAAAAAAAAAAGTTTAAAAAGTTCCAGGTTGTTATGCCGGGGAAGGTTGAGATGTTGGATCGGCGGAGGAGGGAATATCGGGGCCGACGCGACACCCTTCCAGCATGAACACGACGTCGGACATGGTGGGTCGATCAAGCGGGTCCGGTGAGGTGCAAAGTAGTCCGACTTTCACCCCAAGCAAGAATTCTTCCCACTCTGATGATTCAGGATCAAGTTCCAGCAGTCCAGGCTCTAACAGCTCTGTGATTTGGCCTCTTTGGAGCTGTTTTTTGACCCATTTGACAATGTCTTCGTCTTGGGTGAACATCACTGGTCTTTTTCCGGTTAGGAGCTCGAGCAAGACGATGCCAAAGCTGTAGACATCGGTTTCTTTTGTGATCTCCCCTGTTAGTACTGCTTCAGGAGATACATAACCCAGTGTGCCGACTGAAGTGGAAGAGGAAGCTGCCTCCGCCGGGGTTGCTACTGTGAGGCGGTCCAAGCCAAAGTCTGATAAATGAGCTTCGAAATCTGCGTCGAACAGGACGTTCTGGGGTTTGACATCGCCGTGAAACATGTTGGATGTGTGTAGAAATGCTAAGCCGCGGGCAATGCCGAGGGCTATTAGGTGGCGCATTGGCCAGTTGAGGACGTGACCATCTTGGTGGGATGCCTCTTGAAGGAGTGTGGCGAGGCTGCCGTTGGGCATGTAGTCATAAATCAGGAGCCTTAGATCAGGTGGTCCGGCGTAGTATCCACGGAGAACTGTCAAGTTCCGGTGCTTCACTTTGCCCAGAAATTCAGCTTCTTTTCTGAACATGTTTTCATCCAGAGATCCATCTGGCAGACGACGAATGGAGAGCACCATTCCATCATTATAACAAGCCTTGAAAACTAACCCATATCGTGTTCTGCTAAGCACATTTTCTTCATCAAATTGCCTGGTTGCTTCAATTGTTTCAGCAAGTGTGATCTTGTTATTGAACATAACAAGCTTTGGAACTCCATTATCCATGCTGCCACGGCCTCCGCTTGCTCCAGAACTAGCCCTAGCCGGGCTCCTTTTCTTTGCCCCTGCTGCATCTTTGAGCTTTCTGCGCCATCTCAACAAGCTGTAAATGTAGAAGCAACAACACAATGCCATAAGGCAAGTACCAACTGCTATCAAAACAATCAACACAATTAACCTCTTCCTATTCCTTTCAGCAATATTCTCACATTTTCGATCCAATGGTTTCCCACATAGGTCTTGATTATCCGCATATGCTGATGGATTGTTGAATCTAGAACCCAGAGTGACTGGAATCTCCCCTTCTAGATCATTCTTTGAAACATTGAAGTACACCAAACCAGATATTAGAGTGAGATTAGTAGGAATCTCCCCACTCAAGTTGTTGGATGAGAGATCCAACATTGTTAAATTTGATAACTTGGACAGTGAACTCGGTATGCTTCCAGAGAGATGATTCCCACTCAATAACAAAAAGGCTAATAACGAGCATTTGGAGATTTCCTCCGGGATTTCTCCTGTTAGGTTGTTACCACCTAAATCAAGTGCATTCAGATGTGAGAGCCTAGAAAAATCATCCGGAATGTGACCTGTCAAAGCATTTGATCTCAGCTCAAGAACTTCAAGCTCTGTGCAGTTTCCAAGCTGTGGTGGGATTGGCCCAGAAATGTGATTGCTAGACAATGAAAGAACAACAAGTGACCG